CGCCACTGGTAGAATACAAGCTGAAGCTAGCTAGCTACAGGGCTGGGGCTACCATATACCTCTCTTCTACAAACTAACACAGTGAGAGCCAGGACTGAAGTCACACACACACACACACACACAAAAGTTGTCCGTTACCTGGTGATGACGTTATGGTGGTTTCTGTGGTCGCAGTGGTCTCGCTGAGCGTTGTCAACCCTGACGATGTAGTCTGGTTGGTTGCAGAGGGGGGTCTGGTTGGTTGCAGAGGGGGTCTGGTTGGTTGCAGAGGGGGTCTGGTTGGTTGCAGAGGGGGTCTGGTTGGCTGTAGAGGAGGTCTGGTTGGCTGCAGAGGGGGTCTGGTTGGCTGCAGAGGGGGTTCTGGGGTTGGCTGCAGAGGGGGGGTTGGTGGGCAGGGGGGGTTTTTTTGGCTGGGGGGGGGTCTGGTTGGGCTGTAGAGGGGGTTTTGGGGGTGTGGGGTTTCTGCTTGCGCAGAGGGGGAAATAGTGGGGTGGTGTGGGGATGGTGATACTGCCTCTTGGCAATGGAGGTGTTCAAAAGTTACAGAAGCCCCCGTGTCGGCTGGACCCATAGCCCCAGGGGGCCGGAGGACAGGAAGACGAAGGAAAACAGCTCTTTGTGGACGACGGGAGAGACGGGGGGAAACAGCTCTTTGTGGACGACGGGAAGAGACGGGGAAAAACGCTTTGGGAGGACAGGAGAGAGGGGGGGAAACCTCATTGGGGAGGAAGAGAGGAGGAAACAGCTCATTGTGGAGGACAGGAGAGAGGGAGGAAACAGCTCATTGTGGAGGACAGGAGAGAGGGAGGAAACAGCTCATTGTGGAGGACAGGAGAGACGGAGGAAACAGGTCATTGTGGAGGACAGGAGAGAGGGAGGAAACAGCTCATTGTGGAGGACAGGAGAGACGGAGGAAACAGGTCATTGTGGAGGACAGGAGAGACGGAGGAAACAGCTCATTGTGGAGGACAGGAGAGAGGGAGGAAACAGCTCATTGTGGAGGACAGGAGAGACGGAGGAAACAGGTCATTGTGGAGGACAGGAGAGAGGGAGGAAACAGCTCATTGTGGAGGACAGGAGAGAGGGAGGAAACAGCTCATTGTGGAGGACAGGAGAGAGGGAGGAAACAGCTCATTGTGGAGGACAGGAGAGACGGAGGAAACAGCTCATTGTGGACGACAGGAGAGACGGAGGAAACAGCTCATTGTGGAGGACAGGAGAGAGGGAGGAAACAGCTCATTGTGGAGGACAGGAGAGAGGGAGGAAACAGCTCATTGTGGAGGACAGGAGAGAGGGAGGAAAACAGCTCATTGTGGAGGACAGGAGGAGGGGAGGAAACAGCTCATTGTGGAGGACAGGAGAGACGGAGGAAACAGCTCATTGTGGAGGACAGGAGAGAGGGGAGGAAACAGCTCATTGTGGAGGACAGGAGAGACGGAGGAAACAGCTCATTGTGGACGACAGGAGAGACGGAGGAACATGCTCATTGTGGAGGACAGGAGAGAGGGAGGAAACAGCTCATTGTGGAGGACAGGAGAGAGGGAGGAAACAGCTCATTGTGGAGGACAGGAGAGAGGGAGGAAACAGCTCATTGTGGAGGACAGGAGAGACGGAGGAAACAGCTCATTGTGGAGGACAGGAGAGAGGGAGGAAACAGCTCATTGTGGAGGACAGGAGAGATAGAGGAAACAGGTCATTGTGGAGGACAGGAGAGAGAGAGAAAACAGGTCATTGTGGAGGACAAGAGAGAGGGAGGAAACAGCTCATTGTGGAGGACAGGAGAGAGAGAGAAAACAGGTCATTGTGGAGGACAAGAGAGAGGGAGGAAACAGCTCATTGTGGAGGACAGGAGAGAGAGAGAGAGAGAGAGAGGAAACAGCTCATTGTGGAGGACAGGAGAGAGAGAGAGAGAGAGGAAACAGCTCATTGTGGAGGACAAGAGAGAGGGAGGAAACAGCTCATTCAGACTCATCTGACACATGCTGACTAAATACATAACAGGTAACACACTCACAAACTGTGATAGGGAGGGAATGGAGAGAGAGAGAGAGATAGATGTTGTAGAACCATAAACAACTGATAAACTCACCCAGGACATAGAGGTGAATGCAGATCGATGGCATATTGATGATTTATCACCTGATGGGTTAAGACCGTACCAAGTCCGTCACACGTGAAGACAAGAAAGTAAAGTACTTTACTCCTCAGCGTCTCTCTCTCTGACAGGAATTGAGTCACAGACCACAAAACCCTGAGCTGAGCTGGGCTGTCACTTAGCGGTCTTCCTGTCCTCGTCTCCTCCCTCTGTACTGAATCCCACTGACTCAAAGTCCTCATAGTAGATGAAACCAATATACTGTAGGTCAGGGAGAGGTATTCAACTCTTAACCTACAAGTTCCGAAGCCTGCTGGTTTTCTGTTGTACCTGATAATTAAAATTTCACCCACCTGGTGTCCCAGGTCTAAACCAGTCCCTGATTAGAGGGGAATCACCCACCTGGTGTCCCAGGTCTAAACCAGTCCCTGATTAGAGGGGAATCACCCACCTGGTGTCCCAGGTCTAAATCAGGCCCTGATTCGAGGGGAATCACCCACCTGGTGTCCCAGGTCTAAATCAGGCCCTGATTAGAGGGGAATCACCCAGCTGGTGTCCCAGGTCTAAATCAGTCCCTGATTAGAGGGGAATCACCCACCTGGTGTCCCAGGTCTAAATCAGGCCCTGATTCGAGGGGAATCACCCACCTGGTGTCCCAGGTCTAAATCAGTCCCTGGTTAGAGGGGAATCACCCACCTGGTGTCCCAGGTCTAAACCAGTCCCTGGTTAAAGGGGAATCACCCACCTTGGTGTCCCAGGTCTAAATCAGTCCCTGATTAGAGGGGAATCACCCACCTGGTGTCCCAGGTCTAAATCAGGCCCTGATTAGAGGGGAATCACCCACCTGGTGTCCCAGGTCTAAATCAGTCCCTGATTAGAGGGGAATCACCCACCTGGTGTCCCAGGTCTAAACCAGTCCCTGATTAGAGGGGAATCACCCACCTGGTGTCCCAGGTCTAAATCAGTCCCTGGTTAGAGGGGAATCACCCCACTGGGTGTCCCAGGTCTAAATCAGTCCCTGATTAGAGGGGAATCACCCACCTGGTGGTCCCAGGTCTAAATCAGGCCCTGATTAGAGGGGAATCACCCACCTGGTGTCCCAGGTCTAAATCAGGTCCCTGGTTAGAGGGGAATCACCCACCTGGTGTCCCAGGTCTAAATCAGTCCCTGGATTAGAGGGGAATCACCCACCTGGTGTCCCAGGTCTAAATCAGTCCCTGATTAGATGGGGAATCACCCACCTGGTGTCCCAGGTCTAAATCAGTCCCTGATTAGAGGGGAATCACCCACCTGGTGTCCTCAGGTCTAAATCAGTCCCTGATTAGAGGGGAATCACCCCACCTGGTGTCCCAGGTCTAAATCAGGCCCTGATTAGAGGGGAATCACCCACCTGGTGTCCCAGGTCTAAATCAGTCCCTGGTTAGAGGGGAATCACCCACCTGGTGTCCCAGGTCTAAATCAGTCCCTGATTAGAGGGGAATCACCCACCTGGTGTCCCAGGTCTAAACCAGTCCCTGGTTAAAGGGGAATCACCCACCTGGTGTCCCAGGTCTAAATCAGTCCCTGATTAGAGGGGAATCACCCAGCTGGTGTCCCAGGTCTAAATCAGGCCCTGATTCGAGGGGAACAGTGAAAAAAAGAAGAGGATTCGCGGTCCAGAGTTGAGTTCGCAGGCTGTAGTGGGATGTATGCTTGCAAAGTTCTGTTTTCACCTGTTCAGTTGGTTCATGAAGGAGAAGAAGCTGCTTAAGACTATTGAGACACAGCCTCTCTCTCTCTCTCTCTCTCTCTCTCTCTCTCTCTCTCTCTCTCTCCTCTCTCCTCTCTCTCTCTCTCTCTCTCTCTCTCTCTCTCCTCTCTCTCTCTCTCTCTCTCTCTCTCTCTCTCTCTCTCCTCTCTCTCTCTCTCAGGTTGTTTCCAGGCATGACTGATTTCAACCTCGTCTCCTTTACACAGGCCTTTGACAACTGATCTGTGTGACTATCGAAAGGGGAATATACAGTACCAGTCAGAAGTTTGGACACACCTACTCATTCAAGGGTTTTTCTTTATTTTTACTATTTTCTACATTGTAGAATAATAGTGAAGACATCAAAACTATGAAATAACACATATGGAATCATGTAGTAACCAAAAAAAAGTGTTAAACAAATCAATATATATTTTATATTAAATATAATATATAATGTCAAGAGTGTGCAAAGCTGTCATCAAGGCAAAGGGTGGCTACTTTGAAGAATCTCAAATATATTTTGATTTGTTTAACACTTTTTTTGGGTTACTACATGATTCCATATGTGTTATTTCGTAGTTTTGATGTCTTCACTATTATTCTACAATGTAGAAAATAGTACAAGTAAAGAAAAACCCTTGAATGAGTAGGTGTGTCCAAACTTTTGACTGGTACAGTGTATAAAATGGCAAAGTACCTCCTTTTAAAACCCTCATCCCACCCCCTGCACGCTCTCCATCCAACCAGGCCTGTAGCAACAGGTTCTCCCTTCAGAGGGGAAACAGTGCCTCCTGCTGGTTAAACTGTGGTATAAAACTGATCAGACAGACCTATAGGTAGCAAAAGCACACCTATGGGGCTCAAACTCAAAACACATTTAATTCAGCAACAGACAGAGAGATACATATTCATAACATTTGACATTTATTCCCAGACAGTAGGTATAGTCACATGAGCGTTAGCAACCGCTGCCCTTATAAGCTCTCATTCAAGTCTTCAATTATCATATATATCAGACAACAACCGAAAGGGAGACCATCAGACTCATTTGGAATTATCAACATCAATAACACAGAGATCGTTTACCACTTGGCACCCTATTCCCTATATAGTGCACTACTTTAGACTAGTGTCCATAGGGACTCCCACAGGGAGTGCACTATATTGGGAATAGGGTGCCATTTGGGATGCAGCCAGAGATTGTAATACGCCGGAGGGGCTCCACGTACTCAAATGAAAAGCATTTCAGGTTAACTTGAAATTAGAATAATATTTCAATATAAAAACTTGGCATTCCAATTCCCTTATTTGTCAACACTGTACACTTTTAAAGGGTTCCACCCGGAACTCTGGAATGTTCTAGTCGGAACCCTGAGAGGTTCCACCCAGAACCCCGGAGCCCTCAGTGTCATCTGATGGTGCGGTACATCATGAAGTCGACCGTGGTGCATCTTGGGAACTTGCCGATGGAGCTCTCCTCGACGGGAGTGTACACCTTGATCTGTCTCATGTGTGTGTCTCTGCCGTTCTGGTGGTTGGCTAATACAGCTATTTGGATCATGAACGTCCTGATGAATAAATAAGAAATATATACATAGAATTTAACATATAGAATATACATTTTCAAAAGCACTGTATTTGAGACGCCTTTCAAAACAACAAATATAATCTACCTGATGGGGTTGTTGACTGTGTCCAGAAGGGGGATGTGAATCCAACCACTAGGTTCTACCATCTCTAACTGCTGCAGGGGAGAAGAGAGGAGGAGGAGGAGGGTAAGAGTGAGGAAGAGGGGGATAAGAGTGAGGAGGAGGAGGAGGAGGGTGAGGAGGTGAGGAGGAGGAGGGGGGTGAGGAGGAGGAGGGGGGGGGTAAGAGTTAGGAGGAGGAGGAGGGGGAGGGTGAGGAGGAGGGGGGTAAGAGTGAGGAGGAGGAGATACAAGTAAAAATGCTATCTTCGTAATAACTAGGGGTGTAACGGTTTGGTACGTATTGCTGTTTTGGGGTCACTGTTCGGTTACGGTTACAGCAGCTAAATGAAATGCCAACAGTTACTCTAGTTAATTTTTGTTTATTTGGCTAAATACGCAAACTTAAAAACGCACCCTATTTGTGGCCCAAGTCCAGTTTCTGTGACATCATTCACAATGTTCCTGGCATTGTCTGCTGTGACATCATTGTCTGCTGTGACATCATTGTCTGCTGTGACATCATTGTCTGCTGTGACATCATTGTCTGCTGTGACATCATTGTCTGCTGTGACAGGGATTGTTAAGTAGAAGTCTAAAACTTGGACCCGTTCAGAAATGGACCCGGGGCTTTCCCACCCGGACAATATGCATAAATACATTTTTCAATATAGAGACCCGTTCCGAACGGACCCGAGGACGACCAGTTCCGTATAGACCTGGTCGGATCCGAGTGAGGGAAGCAGCAGAAAAGCCCATTTGTAAGCTACTTTATTAACCTGATCCAGCTACTTTATTAACCTGATCCAGCTACTTTATTAACCTGATCCAGCTACTTTATTAACCTGATCCAGCTACTTATTAACCTGATCCAGCTACTTTATTAACCTGATCCAGCTACATTATTAACCTGATCCAGCTACTTTATTAACCTGATCCAGCTACTTTATTAACCTGATCCAGCTACTTTATTAACCTGATCCAGCTACTTTATTAACCTGATACAGCTACTTTATTAACCTGATACAGCTACTTTATTAACCTGATCCAGCTACTTTATTAACCTGTATACAGCGCGAGGGAGAGCAAGCGGAGGAGGGGTCCTTGAGAGGAGAGCAAGCGGGAGGGGGCCTTGAGAGGGAGGAGCAAGCGGAGGAGGGGCCTTGAGAGGGAGAGCAAGCGGAGGAGGGGCCTTGAGAGGGAGAGCAAGCGGAGGAGGGGCCTTGAGAGGGAGAGCAAGCGGAGGAGGGGCCTTGAGAGGGAGAGCAAGCGGAGGAGGGGCCTTGAGAGGGAGAGCAAGCGGAGGAGGGGCCTTGAGAGGGAGAGCAAGCGGAGGAGGGGCCTTGTAGGAGAGAAGCGGAGGAGGGGCCTTGAGAGGGAGAGCAGCGGAGGAGGGGCCTTGAGAGGGAGAGCAAGCGGAGGAGGGGCCTTGAGAGGGAGAGCAAGCGGAGGAGGGGCCTTGAGAGGGAGAGCAAGCGGAGGAGGGGCCTTGAGAGGGAGAGCAAGCGGAGGAGGGGCCTTGCGACAAGGAGGAGGGGGGGAGAGACAGCAACCAACCATAACAAGCAGACTCGCACTAGAACACTAACTTCTAGCTTGTCATAGCTAGGTTATTTATCATCCAATAGGATTATTTAGTACCTGTCGACTGCATCAAACCCAGAGAAGCTAGTTGGCTATGATAGCTAGCTACCTAGCTAGGCTAATTGAGCATGTGCTTTCTTCCTGTCCTACAGTTACAAAAAACACCACCTCCATTTAGATGATTAAATAGCAGCCAAGCTGTTGACTCTTGGTCATGGTACCATATATACTCATTTCACTTTTAATTCAATCTCCCATTGATTAGATCATCTCCTAATTTGCTTTGCCACACAGGAACTGTAGTGGCGCTGTGGTGACTTGTGATTGGCCGACAACAACAAGCTACACACGCCACTCTGTTCTCGTTGCGCCGTGGAGAACATACTGTTAACGTTTTACCCACAACTCTCTGTCCATCGCCGATGTAGTCCACCGTGAAAATGTTCCCAAACTGGAGATTTAAACGATGATGAAGGTCCTCCTCTGGTTTTTATCGACCCCACCACTCGCCCCCGTGAAAGAGACCCCACCACACACTCGCCCCCCCCACCACTTCGCCCCCCCCTCCCCCCCCCCACCACGCGCCCCCCACCACCACCCACCACTCGCCCCCCCCCACCAACCACTCGCACTCGCCCCCCCCCCACCACCACTCACCTCGCCCCCCCCAACCACTTTCGCACCCCCCCCCCCCCGACTCTCGCCCCCCCCCCACCACTTCGCGCCCGCCCCCACCACACTCGCCCCCCCCCCCACCACTCGCCCCCCCACCCCACCACTCGCCCCCTCCACTCGCCCCCCCCCCCCCCACCACTCTGCCCCCCCCCCCACCACTCATTCCCACGTCGCCCCCCCCCCCCACCACCGCGCATCTACCAGAGTTTCCCGGCTGCGCCTCACAAAAGGGATCGTTTTGAAAATCCGCCCGTTTAAATTAGAATTTTGATTACCCAAACGTGCACCATCGGCAACAGCCACAATGTTTTCCGCTCTGCTTACTAACGGAGGCAACGGCCTCCAACGCAGCGTTTACTAACGAGGCAACGCCTCCAACGCAGCGTTTACTAACGAGGCAACGGCCCTCCAACGCAGCGTTTACTAACGAGGCAACGGCCTCCAACGCAGCGTTTAAAGAGGCAACGGCCTCCAACGCAAGCGTTTACTAACGAGGCAACGGCCTCCAACGCAGCGTTTACTAACGAGGCAACGGCCTCCAAACGCAGCGTTTACTAACGAGGCAACGGCCTCCAACGCAGCGTTTACTAACGAGGCAACGGCCTCCAACGCAGCGTTTACTAACGAGGCAACGGCCTCCAACGCAGCGTTTACTAACGAGGCAACGGCCTCCAACGCAGCGTTTACTAACGAGGCAACGGCCTCCAACGCAGCGTTACTAACGAGGCAACGGCCACAACGCAGCGTTTACTAACGAGGCAACGGCCTCCAACGCAGCGTTTACTAACGAGGCAACGGCCTACAACGCAGCGTTTACTAACGAGGCAACGGCTCCAAACGCAGCGTTACTAACGAGGCAACGGCCTCCAACGCAGCGTTTACTAACGAGGAACGGCCTACAACGCAGCGTTTACTAACGAGGCAACGGCCTCCACACGCAGCGTTTACTACGAGGCAACGGCCTACAACGCAGCGTTTACTAACGAGGCAACGGCCTCCAACGCACGTTTACTAACGAGGCAACGGCCTCCAACGCAGGTTTACTAACGAGGCAAGGCTCCAACGCAGCGTTTACTAACGAGGCAAGGCCTCAACGCAAGCGTTTACTAACGAGGCAACGGCCTCCAACGCAGCGTTTACTAACGAGGCAACGGTCTACAACGCAGCGTTTACTAACGAGGCAACGGCCTACAACGCAGCGTTTACCTAACGGCAACGGCCCACAACGCAGCTTTTTACTAACGAGGCAACGGCCCACAACGCAGCGTTACTAACGAGGCAACGGCCTCCAACGCAGCGTTTACTAACGAGGCAACGGCCCACAACGCAGCGTTTACTAACGAGGCAACGGCATACAACGCAGCGTTTACTAACGAGGCAACGGCATACAACGCAGCGTTTACTAACGAGGCAACTTGTTTTATTTGTTGTATTCATTCAGGTTCGTAGTGCGGAACAAACCGAGGTCCCGTACCGAAGACGTGTACCATCACAGCCCTTAGTCATAACAGTCATAACATGTTATTGATACACACTGACACAATATAACTTGAAAGTTCTTACTCTGATCTCCTGCAGGTTGTGGAAGTTGTTTCCTACTCTGACAGAAATCTTACTGGGGGTGTAGCTCTCATCTGACTTGTAGTCTGCATAGATACACAACATCTTCACTGTAGTCTTCCTCCTGGGGTGGGAAGGAGGGTAAGGGTTAGGGTCAGGGTTAGATCTCATCTGACTTGTAGTCTGCATAGATACACAACATCTTCCACTGTAGTCTTCCTCCTGGGGTGGGAAGGAGGGTAAGGGTTAGGGTCAGGGTTAGATCTCATCTGACTTGTAGTCTGCATAGATACACAACATCTTCACTGTAGTCTTCCTCCTGGGGTGGGAAGGAGGGTAAGGGTTAGGGTCAGGGTTAGATCTCATCTGACTTGTAGTCTGCATAGATACACAACATCTTCACTGTAGTCTTCCTCCTGGGGTGGGAAGGAGGGTAAGGGTTAGGGTCAGGGTTAGATCTCATCTGACTTGTAGTCTGCATAGATGCACAACATCTTCACTGTAGTCTTCCTCCTGGGGTGGGAAGGAGGGTAAGGGTTAGGGTCAGGGTTAGATCTCATCTGACTTGTAGTCTGCATAGATGCACAACATCTTCACTGTAGTCTTCCTCCTGGGGTGGGAAGGAGGGTAAGGGTTAGGGTCAGGGTTAGGGTTAGATCTCATCTGA